TGGAAGGACTAAAGATAATGTAACTTGTTAGAGCTGGAAGGGCCCAGAGAAAGACAATGCTTTTACCCAAGTCTCTAAGTGAGTTAGAGGCAGAGCCAGGAGTAGAATTCAGGTCTCCTGACTTGTAAATCTAAAAGCTTCCTGAAATCTAAAGGTCTTTCATTAATTCAACAAACATTTGTGCAGGTGCTTTCTTTGTGCAATGTACTGTGCTACTATACCCCATCTAGTGACACCAAAGTTGCTGGTCACAAAGAATCCTATTCTAAAAGCCCAGCAGAAGTTCCAATTTTTCAATTACTCTCTCTTCTTATCCATCTTCTAATTCCTGTCCTCTCTGCTGCCACCCTACAAGGATTTTCTTGCCCTTTGGAATGAGAAAGATGACTGAACAAGGAAGAATGAGGCTAAAGATGGTTTTCAGCTGGATATGACCACTAGGTGAGGGGGAAATCCAGTCCAGCAAAACTGCACAGGGAAAGTTAGTTTTCTGTGTCCTTTTGTAGACTGTTTACTTCTTCTACCTTCAAGAGGCCTTAAAATAAGGAATTTTGCATCTGGAAGGGGAAATCAGATGTAGAAGATAGACTATAAGATCTGGAAAATATCTTAGTTATGATCTAGTTCAGCCCCTTCATTTTGCAGATGTTTCAGACATGAATCAGAGGTTGGTGTGACATAGAAGATAAAGTGCTGGAATTGAAATCAGGAAGACATAGTTTGAATCCTGCCTCAGAAGCTGCGACATTGGACAAGATTCTTAATTTCTCTAAGCATTAGTGTGCTCATCTATGAAAGCGAACAATAACGACCACCTCATGGAGTTCTATGAGGCTCAAATGAGGCAATATATGTAAAGTGCTCTGATAAGCTGCTCATCATAGAGATCATGGTCTGGGGAGAGGATGGACAATGGAAAGGACTTCACTAGGAGTCAGGCTACTCTGCCACCAGCTCAATCTGTCCCCTTGGGCTTCTCTGAGCCTAAAGTCTCCTCTCCTTTGTGAGTCCCAACCTTATTCTTCACTCAGATGGATGCCTTAAACAGAAAAACACCAATCCAATCCCAACTTCACCTCAATAGGAAAGAAAATATTTCTAATCAGGATAGTTCCTGATGAGGAAACATCATGTGATGGAAAAAACCATGGGACTAAGAATTAAGAAACCTGGGCTTTGGTATTGGCTTGGTGGAGGACTTATTGTGTAACTGATGTCAAGAAATTCCCTATCCTCGTCCAAGCTTCAGTTTCCTTAGCTGTAAAATGTGTACAACAAATCCTGCCCTGCCCTTCTTTTGAGGTTGATGTGAAGCTCAATGGAAAAATGGATATTAGAGAGTCATATTAACCTAAGGGGTTATTAGTTACAGTTAGTTATAATTATATAGTTATAATACCATCAAAATATAATAGACCTGAATAGGACCTTATCTTAATAATATCTGCATCACTCATAGCACCTAGCACAGGCTTAGGCACATAATTAGTGATAAATCACAGTGTGTCAGAGCTGGATGGCACCTTAGAAATCATCTAGTCCTCACTTCACAGAGGAGGAAATTGAAGCCCTCAGAGGGTGAAGTTGAAAGAACACAACAGAGGGGCAGCTAGGTGGATAGATCACTCACCCTGGAATCAGGAGGACCTGAGTTCAAATCCGGCCTCAGACACATGATACTCACTAGCTTTGTGACACTGGGCAAGTCACTTAACCCCTAGTGCCTCTCCAAAACAAAAAGAAAGAACACAACATAGAAATAAAGGATCTTGATTTTAATGTCAATTCTACCACTTATTACCTATGTCACTCAATCAACAAGTATTTATTATGTGTCAGGCACTGTGCTCAGTGCTAGGTATAGAAAAAAAAGTAAACAGTCCCTGTCTTCAAGAAGCATACATTCTAATTGGGGAAATAAACATTCAAATAACCCAAATGCATACAAGATGTATAGCAAGTGGATAGAATGAAATATGCCCCTAGCAACTGGGGGAAGAGGGGACCAGAAAAGGTCTCCTGTATACGGTGGGATTTGAATTGAATATCGAAGAAAGACAAGAAAAATAAGGGGCAGAAGTAAGGGGGAATAGGATTTCAGGTATGAGCATATAATCCAAAGGCATGGAGTTGGGAGACAGAATGTTGTGTTGAAGAAATTGGTCAGTATAGCTGGATTATAAAGTTCATAGAGGGAAGCAAAAGGTAGAAGATTGGAAAAGTAGGAAGAGGCCAGGTTGTGAATGGCTTTAAATGACAGATGATTTTATATTTGATGCTGGAAGTAATGGGGAGCCACCAATGCTCATTAAATCAGTGGGACGATAGATCTGTGCTTTAGGAAGATCACCTTCACAACTGAATGGAGAATGGATTAGAGAGGAAGACTTAAGATACAGATACCAATTAGAAGGTTATTACAATAGTCCAGGTTAGAGGTGATGAGGGACCAAACTAGGGTGGCTGTGTCTTGGAGAGAAGAGGACATATACAAGAGATGTTGTGAAGGTGGAAGTGACAAGATTTAGCAAAGGACTAGATATATGATGTGAGTGAGAGTGAGCAGTCAAGAGTAAGACTGAGGTTGCAGATTTGAGTGACTGGGAAGTTAGTGGTGACCTCAGCTAGGGCAGTTCAGGTAAGAGGAGGAGAGATATGTTACGGGAGACAGAATTAGGCTTATTTCAGACATGCTGAGTTTGAGATGTCTATGAGACATCCAATTTGAGATATCCAAAAGGCTGATATGTACTGAAGCTCAACAGAGAGACTAAGACTGGATGATTGGATCTGGGAATCTTCTGCATATACATGATAATTCAACACATGAGAGCTAATAAGCTCACCAAGCCAGGTGGTATAAAGTGGAAAGAGAAGAAGGACCAAGACAGAGCCTTAGGGACACCCGTGAAGAATCAGCAAAGGAGACTGAGTAGTCAGAAAGATGGGAGCAGAACCAAGAGAGACCAGTATCATGAAAACCTAGAAAGGAACATATATCCAGAAGGAGAAAGTAAACAATGGTGTCAAATGCTGCCAAGAGATCAAGAATTATCATGATGGAGAAAAGGCACTGAAATTGCACGGACTCTGGCAAAGCAGTTTGCCTAGCGTTTCTGCCTCTTCCCCTTCTCCATGTCTGCCCCCCCCTCCGCCGCCCCCCACACTCGTGGAGTGAGAGGTGCGACCAGTGAGAATCCTCTCTGTTCTCCTGACTCTCTTCGCCCTACTGTTGGGGTTCACTACTTATCGTACCCGCTTCACCTTCGCGAGGCCTGGGAAGGTGATGGCTAGTGGAAAGAATAGTAGTCTAGAGCCGTAAGACTCCTTCCACCAACAACTCTATGATCTTGGGGGAAGGGCGAGGTATCTTAACCTTTCTGAGCTTCAATGACTCCATTTATAAAAGGCAAAGAGGAAACAACGCCTGCTATGGAGAAACTAGTGAGATGAGGGCAGGTGGAAGCGTTTAGGACAATAGTAACGTAAAAATTTTGAAGGTGTAGTAATAAGTGTTCTAAATTTGCAATCAGAAGACCTATGTTTAAGTATCGATTCTGACACCTAAATCTGACACTTCGGCTAAGTCACGTCGCCTTTTAAAACCCGATTTTACCCCATCTACCTCGCTGGGTTATTGTGAGCTCAGTTCGTGGTGATAACTAAAACATTACATAGGTGTGATATCTATAATTCCTCAGGATTTCACAGAATGTCAGATCTGGAAGGGCCATTAGACACCATCTAGTCCAAGCCCCTCGTTTTACAAAGTGGGAAACTGAGGTCCAAGGAAGGAAAAAGACTCATTTTACACAGACAACAAATGTCAAGATCGGGATTCGAACCCAGGCTTCCTGACTGTTAGGGTAACGCTCTTTCCACTCAACCAGTCTTTTCTGTTCAGTGGTTTCCGCTCAGCTTGCACAGCTGACAGCCTGGAAACAGCCCCATCACTCCGCTCTGAGGCCGGATGACCCAGGGTCGGGGAGCGTGGCGGACGCTCAGAGATCCAGAGGCTGAAAGCCAGCGATGCTATGGGCGTGTCATTTTCCCTTCCTTCGAAAACTCTTCTCGAGGGACATAGCCTGAAGTTAGGGACTCCCTGTACTTGAGGAGATGGTAAAATGTGCTGTCTCTCTGGCCCGGTGCCAACCCCGATGCAGCAAAGCCAATAAAGTGGAAATCAAAGCCCCTTCACGGATCGCAAAGCGTAATTACAGAGCGTGCCAGGTCCCCGGGACAGCCCAGAGCGCGGAAGGTTTATTGCTTTGGTCGTGACCTGTTCGATTACATTTTACCCTTTTGAAACGAGTGTGTGCAGCGGGATGGAGTGAATGCTCTCCACTGCGGGGCTTAGGGAGACGCCCCTGAGTTTCCCTCCCTTTATTCTCTTCTCCCTTGCCTCCTCTCTCTACCCGCTGGAGGCCAACTAGGGGAAAGTTGTTGGTACCGCTTTAAAAATTACAGCCTTGGAAAAACTTTGATGATAAATCAAGCCCCAGATCCCTCCGCCGCCTCATTGGAGGCTCTAGGCGGGACGCGGCGCCGCCGCCCGAGAGCGGCGTGGCCTTCCGCTGGAGGGAAGAGTCCCGCAGTCTAAGGGGCGGCAGGCGGGCTGGGCGGACGGTCGGGCGCGCATCCCCAGAGCTGCTGGAGCTGCCAGAGGCGCGGAGGGTGTAGTGGGCTGGAGAAGCGGAGAGCACGGGGGCTGCTGTAGAGGCCAGGGAACCAAGCTGGCGGGGGCAGGGGGACCCCTCTCTGGGGTTTGGGGTTAGCTCTCTCTCTAAGTGGCTTGTCTGTCAACCATCCCCTCCCCCCCGCAGCCGCCGGTGGCTGCTGTCTCCGTGGTAGGTTAGGCTTGCTCCTGGAGCTCTTGCTCCCCCATGTGAGACGCCCGGAGCCGCCCCCCTTCCCCGAGCCCCCGCCCCCCTCCCGCCCTGGGAGCCAAGATGGGGGCATTCGTTGTGACCCTGGGGATTTTCCACTCCCTGGGACTTTACCTCCAACTCAGCGGCGCCACGAGGCCCGGGGGACAAGCTCCTTGGGACAACCACATATCGGGGAATGGTGAGTAGGTCTGCGCCGCACCCCCCACACACACACCCCGCTGTCCCTGTCCCGCCCTGCCCCGCCCCATCCCACTTCTTCCCTCCTTTCCCCTCCCCCTCTCCTGACTCCCCTCCTAGTACCCAGCTGAGCCCTGGGATCCCAGCCCTGGGCAGAGGAAAAGCTAGGCTGGGGGGGGGCAGGGAGCTCTAGGATTGGGGGTGTCACGCTCTCACGAGGGAGAGAGGACTACTGGGGTACCCCCTTCCCCAGCTCCCGACTGGACTAAGCTGCATGTCCGAGTCCGTGTCCGGACACATTCTCCTGCCCTGGGGAAAGGACGTAAGGACCAGGGCTTCCCCACCCTTCCCCCCTCCACATGTATCGTCCCTTAGCTCCCCGCTGTGCTCAAGACTCTGGGAGTGCCAGCTGAGCCGGGGTTCCCAGCCAGCACCTGCCCCTTTCCCACCCCACCCTCTGCTTGTATTCCCGTGCTCCGAAGAGTAAAGTGAGGGAAGGGGGGGGGGCAAGGTTCCTTTCCAAGCTCCCTGTCGCGTGCAGAGCTGGGCAAGGCGGAGCTGGAAAGGGGTGGGGGGCAGTCCCAGCTGGATCCAGCTCTCCTGTACCCCATGGAATATAGAGAGGGAGACCGGCCAGGGCTCCCCTCTTTCCCCAGCCTTCAGCTCTCTGGAATGTACAGCTTGGTGAGGGAGTACCGGTCTCGGAGGGCCGCAGTACTCCCTAACCCATGAGGGCGGGGGGGGGGGGGAGAGTCTGGTTTACATGTACCTCGGAGAGGAAGAGGAGATAGGTTTTCCCCGCCTTCCCTTCTGCCCGCCTTGCATGACTCCGGGACACGAAATGCTTCCCCCCCCCCTTGTGTCTTAAACTCAGTTCACAGGGGAGAGAGTGAGAGGCCAGGATGTCCCCATCCTTATCCCCAGGTCCAGTCGCAGAAGCCTAGAGCCCAAACTTGGTTTTCTGCCTTCCCCAAGGGCCACCCCAAGGCTGAGCTTTGGCTGGTTAGAAGGCGGAGTAGCAGCCGGGGCCTCTCCAGCCCCCTGAGGGGGCTGGGGTTGTTCCAGCCTCACCCCGGTCCTTCCTGATTTTGATCTCCCCTACCAGACCGCAGCCAGAGGGAAAGCTGCAGCTTAAAGACTGGAGAGGCTTCTCGTGAGTCTGACTTCACTCATCCTTTGCCTAATCCCTTTGTAATTTTGGGGAAATATGATCGCCACTCTTGACCAGGATGGCTCTGCAGGTATCTCTCCTGGTCTGGGGGCTTTGCCTAGGAGCTGGGACAAGAATACATTATGTGTAAACCTTCGAGCCCCTGTCAGAGTTGGGGAAAGAGACTGTGCCCCAGGCGATGCAGCCTACTGGAGGCTGATAAAGAAAGAGTGCCTGCCCAGTGTCTTTGTTTGCTGGAGGAGGACCCTGGGGATAAAGTGGATTTTTTCTCAATTTCTTCCCTCACCTCCAAGTCTAGCCTGAAAGAACCCTGGCTTAAAGCTGAGGGCAGAGGATACTGCTCATGCGATTCTGAAGACCCCTGAGGACCTGAGTCTGGAAACCCTCAATTCTTGGCTGTCCGAATGAATGTTTAGCGGCAAATAGATGTCACAGTGTTAGATAGTCTTATCCTGGCAGAAGAGAAACCCAAGTTAGCAACTGGAGTTAATCTATCTAGAGCAAGTTTATGAGACTGGATAGAACAAGGTTTGGGGGGGGTGACCTTCCTGAGCCACAACTCTTCAGTTCTTTATTTTAGGGACCCTGACACTGATGCATCCCTCCCACTTCTGTCCCTCCTCCCTCCCACCTCATTCCATAACTCGGCCATATCTCTGGTTACTTTCCCTTCAGCCAGAAACCCAATGAATGCAAACCTCTCTTTCCTGTTGCCTAGTTGCACTTTCACTTGAGGGTACTCCAAAGAAGGGCTTATCCTTCTATTCCCAAGTCCCCAAGAGGCATATGGAGCATGCCTCTGACATTTAGCACCCCTCCATCACTGGCAGATCCCCTGGAGATGAACAGTGAGGAGATGAAAGGAGTAAGAGAGCCAAACCATTGTGGGACTATGCTGGGCATTATGTTATTGTTGTTGTTGTTATTTGTGTTTGTTTTTTGATAAAGATCCAGAGCTACAATTGTTATTCTTGAGCCCATTACAGCCTCGGAGAAGAGTTGAGTTGGATTCAGAGCCCACATTTTGGAACAAAGTAGTTCTCTTATAAATTGCCTATTGGCCAGGAAGAAGAGTGGTGCTTTGGGTGGTAGTAAATGAGGAGGACAGATATCTGCATCTGCTAGATGGAATTTGCCCTCATCCTAAAAAAAGCTAATGCTGGCCATTGAAGTCATGAAATAGTTGTTGCAAAGGAGTGACCATAACCTGCCTCTACTAGGACTGGCAGTGCCCTGGGAGCCTTATGCCAGAGGAAGGGTTTATAGCCACTCACTTAATCACAAAAGAAACTGTTATTAATGGTACTGAGACGCTGCGAATAAGTGGGTCATGTCTAATAAGCCATTTGTGTTCAGGAGGAGAATACCAATTTGATAAAAGCTGTGTGTGCTGAAAAAGACCCAGAAATTGCTGTTTAGCAGATTGGAGCCTGACTATTTCATTATTCCTCTGCTCTGCTTGTCCTTAGCTGAATCAGGGAATGTGGAATAGCTGGTGGAGGGAAAGTGGCTTTAAAAGGCCATCCCAAGTTCCTAAAGCAATGTCAAATGGGGGCCTCTGGTGGAATCAGATTGATCATTAGTCCCTGGTATCCATGCCCCCCCCCCCACCAACCTGGCCTATAAATATATGTGCTTTGTATCCTGAGGTCTGACAGAGCTCTAAGCCCAGTCAAAAGGCCAGCAAACCAACCCTTCCTTCCCCATTGTGGAAGCTTGTAAGGAGAGAAAAGCTTCAGAAAACCCCATCTGTTCTTGGTGATCTGCTTATCCCTCCCTGCCCCACTAACTCCTTGGTATGGGGGAAAAGTCTGCCATGACTGCCTTATTGGATTACCTTTAAGAAAGGCTCTCCGTATGGGGTGAGAAGGATGTGTAAATGAATGAATGAAAACGCATTTATTAAGTGCTTACTATGTGCCAAGACAGAAACAGCTGGAAACTGATGGGCTTGCAGTTGGACTGTCACTGGATGGCTGACCCCAACAGTTTGGATAAAGTCAGCCTTGCCTGGGAGGAAAATATGGCTTTAAAATCATCTCCAAGAAACAGGGTGGGGAGGAGAGGGAAAAGAGTAATTCAGTCTCTTGCCTTTGAGCCAACTTGACTTTAGGTGCTTTAAGGCATAAAATATTAGAGCTGGAAGGGACCTCCGAGATCACCTAACACAACACTGTCATTTGAAAGAGGAGGGAGCGATCCAGCTGTCTTGGTTTGGATGGTGAAGTCCCTCAGAGGCACCCCACGAGGCACTGAAGTACCTCCATTGCAGCAAACATTCTTCTTCCACCTCGCTCTTCTGTCCACTCCCCCACCTCTTTCCTTAGGCCAGCACTTTCAATTATTCATGCACCCCTCTGCAGGCAGAATGGGAGCATCATTTGGCCAGGGCCCGATCTGTTCTCAACCTGTATCCTCTACTTGAAAATCCAGCCACTGATTCACAGCTCTCTGTGTGTGTGTGTGTGTGTGTGTGTGTGTGTGTGTGTGTGCGTGCGTGCGTGTGTGTGTGTGTGTGTGTGTTTTGTGTGTCTTGCCAGGGAGGGAGCAAGCCCTGAACAATTTGGTAAACAGCTTGTGCTGAAAGATGACTATCTAGGTTTCTTGTTTTCATTTGCAAAAATTTTTCTGTCTCACCATCAATAAGCCAGTTAGTTTGGTAGTTCAGAGATGAAGAAAATTGAGTTCTGTTTCCCTAAGGTTATGATGTTAAAAATCTGTTCTCCTTTGTCTCACACACTGATGATTATTCTATCAATTACATTCATAAACACTTTGCACTGGGCTGGATTTTTTCTAGCCCTCTGTAGGGAATTGGCCATCGGATGTGTTTTTCCTTAAGTCATTCACTGCAATTGTTTCTGACACCTTTCCTATCGTATAGCTCCATGGGCCTTTCCCCTAAAGAAGGTGGAGCGGCAGCCAGCAACACTTGGGGAATTATCACATTTCCAAAATGACAGTGAATTTTTATTTGAAAAGTCTTGCTGTGGCAGGCAGCAAGCCAGAGGGAGAGGCCACTGGGTTTCCAATTCACCAGTCAGGTGGGGGCTGGTTGCCTTATTGGCCCATGTCTGGCCTCAAAGCAGCCAAAACCAAACTTTCAAGGGACGCAATCAGCCTGGCAGGTAGCAGTGTCATTTCAAAAGCAGCTGGCTTTAAGGTAGGGAGGATGAAAGGATGTCTGGCTGAGCTGGTGATTTTGGGGGCTAGATTTTTCACAAAGTCCCTGTGTTCTAGAGAGATTTCACTCCATTTTGGTTATAGGAGTTTGACTTAATTCATGCTGATTCACCCAATGCTAAGGCCCCTGGGCACATTTTAAAGTTTGCAAACAACCGAAGAGGAGCGGGGAAGGGATTGTGAATAATTGTTATGAATAATCTACTTCTTGTCCTCTTGTTGAAAGAAGCAGACATTAGCCAGCTTCCCTTCCATCCACCCAGCTTAACGGCAGCTGTGCCTTGTACTGTCTCCTGACAGTGGAGAGAGGGTCACAGATGCAAAAACGGGTTAGTAGGGTCTCTTCCCATTGACAGGTTTGAAGCTGAGGGATAGCTTCAGGGAGAATTTTAGTTGTTGGACATGAATGATAGACTTTGATTGTAGTATTTCTAAAAACCAGCTAATGTCTGGCAAATTTGGGGAAAGATTTATTTCCTGCTTGGTGGAAACTTGTGTTTCACTCTTTGTATTTTGGCTGGGTTAGTTCAGAGGGTTAGCAATGGTGTTTATGGGATCCAACTTATATCTTGAGCCCTATACAGGTGATTAGCTTTCTGTTCCTTGGCTCCAAGCTACTCCAGAAGGAAGTATCTCTTGTTGATCACAAAGATGACTGGGCAGGAGAATAGTGATGGACCTATGTAGCTCATCCTCAGTGCTGGGGAAACAAAAGCATTTGCCCTATTGTGGGTAGGTCAGTAGGAACATTACTATTAATCTTGTGTCCCCTCCCCCTTTTTCCTAAAACATAGCCTATTTTTCAGTTTGAAAAATTCCTTTATAGCTGTTGGTCACTCTAATTCCTGATCTTTTGTAAACTCTCTGAACTCGCTTTTTGAAATAGCAAAGTCTACAGGCCAAGCTAGGGTAGAAGGCTAATTTGCAATTTTCTGAAGAGGGGTTCCAGTTTTTAACATAGTGCTGGGTTTTGGTACTTTGATGTAGTGATAAAAGTCAGAGGAGTTAGAAGATGTGGATTTGAATGCCAGCATCAAAGCTCCTCAGCAGTGTAACCTTGGGCAAGTCCTTTCTCCTCTGTGAGTCTGTTTCCTCATTTGTAAAATGAAGATAACAATGATAGCTTTAAGCTTTGTAAAGCACTTTCCATATATCATCTCATTTGATTCTCATACCAACCTTTTGAGAGAGGTACCATTATTAGCCTTGTTTTACAGATGAGGATGGTAGAGGTTAAGAGCCTTGCCCAGGGTCACACAGTTAGTAAATATCAGAGTCAGGATTAGAGTGCAGTCTGAGTCCAGGCATAGTGTATCAAATGAGATGGTATAGGTGAAAGTATTTTGTAATTACAAAACGCAATAGAAATAAAATCTTCCATCACTCTTGGGGGTTGTCAGGGAGAGAGGATGCTTTTATATTCCCCATTCACTTCATTGCTTGAGAGTGCATTTAGAAGGGATTTTTTCCTCTTCCTCAGAGGCTATTGAATTAGACCAAAGAAGACACATCTCGATGAAGGCATTTGCCTCTAAATCCCATACAAGTCTTGTCTTTCTAGTTTCATCATTGGAAGGGACTCCCATGAAAGAATCTCAGAAAATAGACTGTACTTCAGCATTCCCCTTCCTACCCCTGCCACTTGCCAGTCCTGTTCACCTACAGAAATGTTTCTGGAGAGAGAGATGAGAAAGAGAACCTGACCAGCCTACTTTCCCTATTCCTTGGATTGTTCCTACATTTTAGAGTGGGAAATGGAACCAGAAGGGAATTTCTGATTTCATCTCTACCACTGACCTTAGGGAAGTCATGTCTCCTCTCTGGGCCTTGGTTTCCCCATCTGTAAAATGAAGGGATTAGATCAGATGATCGCTAAGGTCGTTTTCAGCTCCAAGAGCCAGTGATTGAAACAAAGAAATACCCTCGGCAAAGATGCTAATCCAGGAGTCCAAACTCATAGGCATTTTGTAGATTTCAAGGTTAATTTTGGCTCCCTGATGAGCTGAGACCCAATTCCTCTCACAGTTTATGAATTAGTTCGTTTGGACTGGTAATTTACAGGGCAAATTTGAGCTGATTCCGCCACTAATATGACAGTAACGAGGGTCAGAGGAATTGTGTGCTCCAGTTCGTGTTCAAAAAGCGGTCATCGGCAGCTCTGCCTGTCAGTTCTGCATTCAGATGCACTTCAGGCATGGCACTTTCATCGGGAAAAGGGCAATTGCATAATTACGGGAAGAAGTCGACTCATCGGCCAGAACCCTGTCCAGTATCCAGAAGCCAAGCCGGGTGTGGGCCAGATGGTTTCTAGGTATTTGCAGTCCGCTCAGACAGCCAGCTTTTCATATTGTTGGCGATGAGCGTTTTGGAGATGAAATGTTAAGCCAAGGGAGGCTAAGAATAATTGTAGCTGGGGTGCAGGAGGATTGAGTGCAGAGGAGAGAGGCCAAAGGTATTAAAAACTCTGAGAAGACTTTTGGGGAGGTGGGAGAGACGGAGGGTGGAGAAGGAAGGACTGGAGAAGGCACAGCAGAGCTGTCTTCAGGAATTGGAAAGTCTTGAGTATAGAAGAGGTTTGTTTTCTTTGATTCCAGAAGGCAGAACCAGGTCCAATGGATGGAGGTTAGAGGGAGGCAAGTTTCAGCTCAGTAAAAGAAGAACTTTCCAACAGTCAGATGTGTCCATCAGTGGAAGAGCTGCCTTATAATGTATTGGACTCCTCATTCCTGAAAGTGATGAATAGAAACTGGATGACTGTGAGGTTATGAGAGGATTTTTGTAGTGGGTAGGAGATTGGACTAGAATCCCCTTCCTTTGTGCCTTTTCCAACTTTGAGATCTTGTAAGAGGAGGAGGCATGAAAACCAGAAAGGCAGCATAGAAGAGAAGGCCGGATAGGCAAGGGAGGCAAGCAGCCGAGGGCAACCATAATGGCTGCTGACAAGCAATTATTCTCTGAAGGTACTGACGATACCTGGTGGGTGCCTAAACCATGTTATCCCTATTAGCGTGATTAATTAATACTAGCAGTTTAATTATTAATGATACCTCTCTTTGCTGTTGACAGTACTTAACAAGACTCAGTTAAGCTATATTAATAATAATCCTATGCATTTGCCTCAGTGCTTTCCTTCTCAAATACTTTCCATTTTCTATCTTTCTGCAAATAGCGCAACGGGAAGAGAATGCAAGGGAGGCAGAGCAGGTATGAATATTACCATTTTACAGATGTAGGAACTGAGATCCAGGGTGGTGGAGTGCCTTAGCCAAGGTCATGTAAGTTGGATGCACGTGTCAACCGAAGTCTGACTCATCAGGGATCTAGGGAGCAATGCACCGGCACCCTCCAAGGTACTACTTCATTTTGTAAAAATGTTTAGGGACTGGGGACCTGAATCTCCACTAGGGGGACTGTGTGTATGTGTGTATACAGGCGTGGGTGTGTGCCTGTGCACACGTGCACAAGATGCTTGTATGACTTGGTTTGTATGTCTATATGGGTAGGTCTTTATGACTAGGAAGGAAGGGAGAAGTGAGATTATGTGGGTTTGTGTGGTTGGGTTTTCAAGTATGTTTTGTGCGTCTTGACTTGTTTGCCTGTGGGTTTGGACCTGTATGGCAGAATGTTTCAATTCAATTCAATGAGCTTATATTAAGTATTATGTTATACAAGGTACTGTGCTAGCTGAAAGAATGGAAAACACTCCCTGGCCTCAAGGAACTTACATTTTATCTGGGAATACAACATGTAAACAGTTATGAAAATATGAGATAATTTGAGGGATAGAGAATTATCAACTAAGTGGATAGTAATAGCTGATATTCACATAGTTCTTTATTTATGTTATCTCATTTGTACCTCAAAACCAGGTAAGTAATAGGAATCTATGCCCAATTTGTAGGTGAGGAAACTGCCTCTTAGAGCTTATATAGCCTAAGCTGGCCCAGGAGATGCCAATGATCCAGGTAGGCAGAAGTTCTTCTCTGAAGAAGTTCTGGGTCCAGGCTTTCCTAGTCAAAGCTCCCTGACTCCTTATCACAGCCCCATCCTTCCCTTCCAGAGGCTATTCCTACTGGACCCCCTTCCAGGGGTCCTGGGAACTTGACCCAGGTAACTCTGAGAAGGCTACTCTGTCCACACTCTGCACTTCCTCATTAACTCAAGTCCCTCAAATTACCTTTCCCGTGCTCTTTATTTTTATTTTTTCCCCAATCCAAAAAGCTTCCTTTCCTCCCCTCCCTCCTTCCCTTTCTTCTTTCATTCCTTCTTTCTTTCTTTTCCACCCACCCTCCATTCCTTTCTTCCTTCCTTCCTTTCAAGTAGAGACCTTCCCTTCCAACAAGCATTTATTTTCTATCCTTCCTACTCCTCCCCTTCCCACATTGAGGAGAAAATCCCCATTGTCACAAATATACATAGTCAAACCAAACAAACTCCTGTGTTGCCCAGGTCCAAAAATGTATGTTGCAGTCTGTACCCTGAAGCCATCCCCTCTCTGTCATGAGGTGGGTGGCATACTTTATCATCCGTCTTCTGTAAACCATGGTTGATTATTGTATTGATCAGAGTTCTTAAGTCTTTCAAAGTTGTCTTTACAATCTAACTAGTGTTTCTTAAGGACCTACTATGTATTGGGCACTGGCATCACTAAACAATCTCTGCTCTCAAGGAACTGACACTCCCTTGGGGGTGGGGATCCAACATGTGACAGATAAATATGTATATGTATACACACACACACACACACACACACACACACACACACACACACAAAATGATTTGAAGTGAAGAACCCTAACAACTTGAGAGTTCAAGAACAGCTTCTGTTAGGAGGTGGCACGTGAGCCCTTGAAGGATGTTAAAGAATCTAAGAGTTAGAGGGAATACATTCCAATCGCATTCCCCATACTCCTAGAATCTGGGAATGCAAAAGCTAGAAGGAAAGAGAGGCTTGGAGAACATCAGAGCAGAAAATGTCCTTACATACCAAGTCCAAAGTTTTCATTTTACAGATGAAGAACTGAGGCCAAGAGAGGGAAAATGACTTCACCAAGGTCCCATGGACCATTAACTAGACTGGAATTTTAGCCACATACCCTGTGTTCCATCTGGGATTCCTATAAAGGGGCCTACAACTTCATCCTCACCAAAGATATTCCTGTCCTCCTCCCACTTGCTGGTCCAAAGACAGGCTCAAACCACATGGCTCTGAATTAATCATCAGAACCGTACAGCAACAGATCAACAAGTCTGTTTCAGTCCTTTCGTGTGGGTATAAATATATAATTATCAAGGACTATACCCACAACCCTCCGCCTACCTCCGCCCTTGCACAAGCACAAATAAACACAATGCCCAACTACCAAGAGATACATGATATAGTTAAAAGAGTGCTAAATTTAGGGTCAGAAAGACCTGTACTTGCTAGCTGTGTGACTATGAGCAAATAACTCAAACTCAGTTTCTTTGTCTGTAAAATGGGGCTAATAGTAACACCTACTTCACAGGGTTGTTGTGAGGATCTAATGAGAGAACTTGTGTAAAGAGTTTTGTAAACCTTAAAGTGTTAGATCAGTGTTAACCATGATGATAATGATGATGTTGATGATGGTGATGATGATGACGACGACTGTGACGGCAAGGGTGATGTGTTCTGGACCCTTTTGGCATCTGATTGAAGCCTATGGAACCCTTCTTAGAAAAATGTTTTTAAATGCATAAAATAAAACATGGGATTACAGAAGAAACCAATCATATTGAAATGTAGCTCTCAAAACATTAACAAACAAAAATAAGTTAACCCCCCGACCTCGTACTAGATGATTGCTAAGAGCCCCTTCAGATTTAAAGCCTTTAACAACTTACAGCAGAAAATGGGAGACCTAGAAGGTTTACTTAGGGATCATTTAGTTCCCCATGTTCCAGAAGAAGAAAGGGAGGCCCTGAGAGAGAACTGGGTGGTGGCTTTAGAGTCTGAGAACCCCAGGTGTGAATTCTGCCTCTGCTTCTTACTACCTGAGTGACTTTAGGCAGGATGCTTAAGCACTCTGGGCCTGTTTCCTCATATATAAAATTATGAAGTCAACATCTTTAAAACCCCCGCTAGCTGTAGAACTGTGATTCTCAGTTAAGATAATAGATTTAGAGCTGAAAGGTACCTTAGAAGTCACCAAGTTCAACCTTGTCATTTTACAGACAGGGAAATTGAGGCAAGGAATCTTAAATGACCTGTTCAGTTATTTTCAGTCGTGTCCAGCTCTTTGTGACTCCATTTGGGATTGTCTTGGCAAAGATACTGGAGTGGTTTGCCATTTTCTTCTCCAGTTCATTTTACAGATGAAGAAAACTAAGGCAAACAGGGTCAAGTGACTTGCTAAGGGTCGCGAAGCTAATAAGTGAAGCTGAATTTGAACTCAGGAAGATGAGTCTTCCTGACTCCAGGCCTGGTATTCTATCTACTGCGTCACTTAGCTGCCAATTATGTGACTTACCCAGGTCATATAGCTAGTAAGTGTCTAAGGCAGGATTTGAACCCATGTCTTCCTGACTCCAAGTCCAGCCCTCTATCCAGTAAGCAATGTTGCTTTTTCAAGTCAGTGGCCAGTACTGTTTCCACCATCTTTCTCATGGCTACCTGGTTATACAGATTGGGAGAGGTGGGTAGAATAAGACAACACATACTGTGTTTTGCTTGAGATCTTATTAAAAGAGGAGGGGGAATACCACTCTTACCTACTCCTCCAAAATTGTTTCCTATTGTTTGGGGAAGAGAGTGCATTTCCCCATCTTCCAGCATCTTTTCAGGGTATAGTTGTGCCCCTCATGTGTCTGCCCTCCACACCTCCCACAGCTCCCTTCCAGAGCCTGGGGAGCTATGATGAGGGTGTGTGTATCTATTCTCTGGCTCATGGAATTGTGTGTCTGTGTCTAGGAGTGGGTGACCAGGTAGGCATGGCAACAGGGGTGGGAGTGTGGGAGTTTGTGTCATGTGTGGGTGTATGCCTATGTAATTGTATCTGGGTGTATGGGTGTTTCAGAGTGTGTGTATTTAGAGGTGTGTGAATATGAATGTGTGTGTGTGTGTGTATGTGTGTGATTAGAGGTGTGTGACTTCAGTGCCTGCATCTGTGTGATGGAAGAGTGGTGGTAGTGACTGAGGTGTGTGTTTCTGTCTATGCAAGCATTCTTTTGGGGTACTTAGCTCACTGGATCTTAGTGGCCATGTCTGGGGAGTATTCCTGGGTCCATATATTTAGAGTATGAGTACTCCTGAGTACATAGGTTGGAGCTGATTTTTATACTTTCTGCCAGCCTTTCTCACCACTGGCTTTCCCTGGGTACACTTGGCTTGAGCTTCATCACTGAGAGTGCACGAGGGGAGCAGCTGTGAGGTCAGTGCTTAGAGCGGAAAGGAACAGGCATTTTTCAAAGCTGTCAATTAGTGGAACTGGGGAGGCATCCAATCCTCAGGCCCTTAGCAAGCCATCAGTGGAATCTGTATCCATGTATGTATTTGTGTCTGTCGTGTCCTATGGGTGTATATCCTGTGTCACATGTTCTACATCTCTCTCTACATATATATGCATATATAGACACATATATCCTATATTTGTTCATTATTCATTCATTTGAAAAGTCTTTATCAAGCATCTGCTCTGTGCCCACTCCTGTGCTTAGCTACTATATGGGAGAGACAAAGACAGAAAGAAATGCTGGCAATTCATAATCCTTTAAGAGCCCATCCAGGAAAGATCTGAAAAGGTCACAAAATCTTAAAGTTTTTTAAGGGATACCACGCAATGACATCTAGTATAACCCATGCCTGAATGAAAATACCCTCTACTGTATTCTGACCAATGGTTATTTAGGATTTGGTCAGAGACCTCTTGTGAAAGAGAACCCATTCCCTTCTAAGGCAGCTGGCCATTCCAGTTTTAGACACCTTCTTGTGCACCAAGAAAACAAGAACTTGTTCCAGAAAAGCTCACTGTGTAGTTGGGGAGGCAGGACTAGTCCATAGGAAACATTTAGAATTCTGTTACTTAGATTGAAAATATTAATTTCCCAAGTATAGCACAGAGAAGAGAACCTTTAAAAAAAAATTATTGGATTGCAAACACCAAATGATTCAACAGTGTGATGTAGCAGCTTCAAAAGCTAATTTGATTTTAACGCTGCATTATTGGAAGCTTAGTGTCCAGAACCAAGAGGATATGTGTCATGCTCTACCTTGATCAGTTCATATTTAGGGTATTGGGTTCAGTTGTGGATAACATATTTTAGCGAGAGCCTGTAGAAAGGAGAATGAGCAGATTAGAGTTTGAAACCGTAGCCCGTAAGGATCATTTGA